CAGGATACACAAAGACGAACCGCCTGAATTCGCTCACAGGATACGACATTTGATTAAGTTATCGCATTACGACGTAAAATGATTAGCTTCATAGATGGAAATGAATCCTATAATGACTCCATCTCTCACGCACTCTACAGAAACTATGAAGCTAGCTGATTTCATTTCTAGCGTGAATAGTATACCAATGACTAGATAAATCTCCCAACTAACAACAAGATCAGAAGGGATGAGAAATTCGGGTCCCAATGGTTCAGCTCTGGTTCCAAACCTGTGCGCGTGCGTATTCGTGTGAAACTGATCACGATGTCCAAAGTTAAGATTTCTGCGCACGTGTTGGTGGATAAGATGGATCAGGGGCGATAAAGTGCTTGCACGAATTTTTTCTGCGAGCTCAAGGAGGATTGTGAATCCGAATTATTACGGTATCAGACGGGACTAGGATACGATGTTTTACTGTTCTTGATTGCCTATACTGAACCTTGCAAATCGGTGGAACCGCGTTCACAGAATGATTTGACTGAATGAGATGCGATTACACAGCGCTTGTAATTCTATTGATTGTTCATTGCCTCAGCCAAACTCGATGTTGTGCACAAACGCGATCGGCTTAGATCCTGGTCGTGCGACCAAGAACATGGGAACGAGAAATAGGCTGCAGAATCTAGCACTCTGCTATTCAGTTGGAAACATACAATCCGGTGTAATATAAATACAGCTTGTAGTTATGCCGCGTGAAATGTTCTGCCTACTGCAGCCAAGAGTCTTCTTCAAATGATTTGTGCCTTCGTTTCTCCCTTGAACGGCAGATACACTTATACAGACGATTTAACTGCTCCCATTTCCTTTGGGTATCTCCTGCGTTCCAGCAATGTCTTACGGATTAATCGTTCTGGATAGCCATTGTGTGCAAAAGCAATAGGTAAGAAATGAAGCTCACTGTCCATGAGGTCTGCCGTGCATATTTTCTTCGCTCAACGAATGAGACAATGAATTAGATTTCTTTTTCTTTCAAGCGGGGCGAAGCTATTAGGATGAAAATACTTTCCATTCCTCTTTACTTTTCTGTGCACCAATAACTAGATGGAGCAATCACTGCGGCGTCTTATGAATACGTCTAGAATCGCTAGACGGTTATCCTTTTCTTCCTCGATCCTCCTATTTAGTTCTGGGATCCTGATCTCGTGGAAACCATTTTTCCTGTCAGAATCGGCGTCTTTATAAACTTGAACAGTTCTTTTAGTATTTTCCTTATTTTATCTACACAGTCAGACCTCATGAAGACGATACATGCACTTTTTCCTGATCTTTCTAAACTATTATTTTGGTGTTCCCCTCGGAACAAAGTTATATCCTTGATTTCGATTAATTTCTCACACACCTTGACAACCAAATTTGCAACATGTAATATTTCTAAATTAAATCACCACCTTTTCATCTATTGCACAACGTCACAATTACCTACCTTACTGCAGCAGTTGAGGAGGAGTGGGTGGGTGGTGATACAATATTGCGGTCATCCGAGTCTACGAGATGACATCATCGAAGGTGCGGCTCTTTACTGTTTCTGGTCAACCAACCACAAACCAATAATGCCAATTCATCAGAAGCCATAACGTTCAGACGAAATCTGTATGACGTCAAAAATGCAAGCAGGCGATTGACAAAGATCAATGACCATTTCCGTACATATTATTTAATCCGGTTGACTTCCTAAATAGAAGAACACCTACTTCCGAGGCTTTATTTCTGCGTCTCGGTGATGGAAGATTTCAGCCTACGATTACTAGCGAGATCCTGTTCTTCAATGGCGACTGTGATTGGTGATCCTTAATCCCTACCTATTTCGATTACTACAACTATCCTATCTACCCATAGTGTTATAACCGTACGCTTCTGGTTTATTAAGAACACAAATTACCTAGCTAGAACGGGCTGAATGTAAGTGAATTAAAACAATTTACAGGATGAGCGGATTAACTACGCAGAAAAACCTGAAACGACTGCTTTATTTTTGCACATAAAACGTCCAATTCAAGTTCAACGAGCAGATTTATCGACAAAAGGATAGTGTGGCTATGGGATCACCTCTAGGACCGTTGTTTGCCGATGCGTTGATGGCGAAACTAGAAAATAACCAACTCAAATCTTCCATTCAGGATTGTGTGTTATATACACGATATGTGGATAATATTCTGTGCGTGATCAACACAACATCAGGAACAAATGAGCTCTTGAGCAAATTCAATGCTGCTCACCAGAACATAATATTTACTTTAGAAATGGAAAACGACAACAAATTGGCATTTCTAGACGTCTGTTTGAGTCGTAGATCGGATAGCTTGGTGCAACGACCAGTGCATAGGAAGGCCACTTGGAAGGGCCAATATATTAATTTTCGCAGCT